GGGGGGGTGCCGCACCTGCGGTGTGACCCTGAAGCCGCATTTGAATCATTCACAATAAGCCGGCGTATGAATTATGCCATGTGGTCTGGGCGTGATGTACAACCCGCCCGCCCGTCCCCCCGCCCCAAATAAATATTCAGCTCCCAGACGCTGCACCCGCGCCACTTTAAATCTCGCTTAAATCACCCGCTCTTCTTTTACCAGTGTGTCCTCATTATCCCCTTCCCACACCCCCTCCACACTGCTTATTAATCACGCCACCGACCCCTGCAGGTGCGTGAGCGCCGACACCAGAACGAGATGGCAGCCTGTGCTCCTGGCGGCCCGGCCCGGTCCGAAAGTCAGGCCCGTAAAGGCCTGCATGCTCCGAGTAGAACATGCTTCCTGCTCTGGGCTGAAGCCCACAGATCTGAAACACACTTACAGCATCTTCATAAGTATAATTCTGATTGGGCAGCAGGTGGCAGCGTGGTTAAGGTTATGGAGATAAAGCCTACGCCCTGAGCAGGGCCCCGTGCCACAGACGGATAGCACCCTCTCCCCCGGTTCCTGTGACCGGCTCCTTGGGCTCTCGGCTGCAGGAGGAAGGTTCCTCTGTATAAAAGCACAAATAGACCTTTTCTGAAGCCTCCCCTGCAGCCAAACGGGAGGGAGCTGACTCTCATCCTCACTCTCACATAACAAAGACCCCCCCCAGCCCGTTTGGGAAAAGGATCCGATTAAGGTCTGATCATCCCCCAGGCGCTGAGTGAGGGAGAGCTGGGAAGCCCCCCCCCCCCCCATCAGTACAGTTCATCATGCTGGCTTCCTTTGGCAGCCAGAAAGACCCATAACAGCTCATCATCATCATCATCATCACCGTCAATTTCAAAGGGCTATGTGTCCTTGTTTACTGCAATGTTTCCTTTACCTGCCGCCGTTCATGTTCTTCTACCAATTTTAACCTCGAGTTACAGAAGGTCAATGTTACAGCAAATAAGCGTCTTTAAAAACAAATATTTTTACCTATAAAATTATTTTGAACATTGAATGCATGTAAATGAGCCCATAGAAGTATAATGTTAGCAGGCTGGCAGAAGGTGGGTGTTTTTCGTACTAGTGAGGAGATATAAAGCTGCGGAGAGCAGTCAGGGGGGCGGGGCCTTTAGGGCCTGTCACTGTGGGGGGGCGGGGCCTTTAGGGCCTGTCACTGTGGG